AGCAGGGAGGTGTCCGAAGCGTGGATGCTGTTTCTGTTCCAGCGAAGCGAACACACGTTGATGCTCCTGCTTCCACCTAACGATGGATTCGGGAGGGCAGCGTAGGAACGTGGCCAATGCAGGGAGTTGCTCAGTAGTCGCTGTCTGTCTCGATGCAGCACGCGCTGCGTGGTGACACCCGGTGCTCCCTGATGCTCCTTCTTGGAGCAGGGATTTCTGGTGAAGAGGGGGGTGACCTGTCACACCTGCTTACCCCAGAGACTTTGTTCCCTCTTTCCACGCAGGGGCACGACCGCTGTGGATGGAGCCGGTTTTGGCATCGACCGTCCCGCTGAGCTCACCAAGGAGGATGATGAGTACGAGGCATTCCGTAAACGGATGATGCTCGCCTATCGCTTCCGACCAAATCCATTGGTAAGGTGGTCCTGAACCCGGAGCGGACACAGGGACAAACACTTTGAGGCATCTGTGCATATCTTGTAAGGGTGGGAGTGTTCCCAGTGCTCAGCTGAGGGAACAAATCCTGTGAAAGTTTCTCTTCGATCCTGTTCTCATGCCGAATCAAATTCCCGCTACCAAAACATCCCTGGATGCACAGGTTTCCTTGCTATGATTTTTTTTTTTTTAATACAAAAGCCCCTGGTTAAATTTTATGTGCCACATACAAAGTATAAACTCGGTGTGCAAAGGAAGGGGATGGGTTGTCTGCAAATCCAGGGTTTATTTTTAATAATTGTTTTCCTGGTTGCAAAAGGCTTGTAGGTTCGTGTTTGCCTCGGTCACATCCAGCATGCCAGCACACCTAGAAAGCTGCATTTGTAATTTTTGATGGGAAACCTGAGGTTTCCCTGTCAGAAATGTCACGTTTCAGTGGCTTTTTCAGACAATTAAGCTCAGATGCTCATTGTTCTGTGAAGACAGCAATTTTGATCAATTTTCTCTTGTTCTTCCCCACAGAACAATCCACGACGACCTTACTACTGAGGATGTTTTTGGGACAATGTCTTTTTCCAAACAATCGTAATTTTACTGTGAAATGTTACGAAACTGCATTATCATTCTCTTATTTGCTAATATTGTAAAACTTATGGAAGCCACAATACCATCTCTCACCCAGAAGAAAGGCCGTCGTGCCCACTCGAGTGGCATGACGTCCGTGTCGGAACAAGACCTGGGTGGGATTCGGAGAGGAGAGCAGGTGAGAGCGGAGATCTTGGCGCGGTGCCCTGCTGCCAGGGGAAGGGTAGCACCAAAGATACCAGTAGGAATAGTTCAGGGACTCCATCCGTGCTTAGCTCGGTGCCACGTTAGAAAGAATGAATTTTTTGCGTAACGGCAGAGCCTCGGTTGTTCGGATACGCAGCTCGTGCTGCTCTGGGGTTGCTTTTTTTGTTTGTTTGTTTGTTTTAAATTGCAAATACAACAAGAGACTGTCTACCCCTCACCTTTTGGGGCTATTGCTCCCTGAAGAACTGGGTTCCCACGGTGTCACGACGCCAGAAGTAGAGTCTGACCTTGAACTGACATTGCAGAACCCATGCCTGGTTGTTTTCCTCCACCCTGAGGAAGATGAGGCTTGGATCGGTGCGGAGCGTGGCTGCAGGGGCTGAGGGGCCAGGGCGGGTTCGCTCAGCCTCGGAGGTGAGAGCCTCTTGGTTTTTTGAACACTAAGTTCACTCCCGGCATCCCAGCGAAGCAAGAGACTTGCCAACACTCTCTGTGGCTTGGGGCGAGGAAGAACTAAGCCTTCACACGTGTTTGGATTTTGTTGTCATAAGAAACCCCCCTACGGATACAAATTTTCTTCCTTCAGTCTGTAAATAAAATAAAACTCATTTCTTCCTTAGTTTTAATCCCTGAATTTTTTGAAAGAGTGGGTTTTCATAGGCCGAGAGGCTGCTCTGGATCTCTTTCCTTCCACACATCTTAGAGAAAACAAAGTGAGGTTGGTTGGTTTGGTTTCTTTTGTTTTGTTTTCCCCCAGTCCGAATACTTGACGTGTTATTCTCTTTTGTTAACTTTTCTTAACAATGTAGAGTCAAGGACTTGGCTTTCAATAAAAACATGTGAAACAATAAATTCAGGAGAGCTTCATTCTGAGAAAAAACAAAATCCCTGAGCACCTGACAAACACACAGCGTTCCTGGGGAGCGCGTGGTGTGCCGGCACGTCCTGTCCCTCGCCACAGCTTGTCCACGGGGATGTGACGCTTGGGATGGCGAATCAGCGTGGTGGTAATGGTGGCAGATGGAGAAATAAAGGACGCAGTGCTGCCCGGTCTCGGTTCCTGGCTGGCAGAAGCCAGAGCTGCCGGGCTGGTTGTCCCAAATTGCCAGAGTCCGGAGCCCCATGGGGCTGAGGCTGGGCTGCCCATTTCCCTGCAGGAATAGGGGCTCACGAGGAGAGTGGAAACATTTTCAGTCTCTTTTTCTTCCAGGCGTGTGTAGTTTGACATCCTTGCTCTTCCTGAGCCCCTTCTCTTGGCAACTGTGTCCATCAATAGGTGCTTTTCTCTGCTCTTTTTTCTGTTTTTTTCTTGTGTCGTTGTAAGTCATGCCCTGTTCCCCGTGCCCTGCGGGCAGGAGTCAGTTCCGCAGGACCGCGGCGTGCCCGGTCCCCCTTCTCGCCAGCGTCGGCTACAAAATGGGGATTTTGTCTTCAGAAACCAAATCAGATGGGTGGCTGCTGTGGCGTTGCCCAGCAGGTCACCGAGAAAGAGAAAATTCCCAGTGCCCGCCGTGCAAAGGCCGTGCCAGCTACCCAGATGATGTAAAAACACCAGTGACTGAGCACGAGTGCCCGTGGTGAGCGTGGCACAGGGAGGCACCCTGGAATCACCCAGCTGGGTTCAGCGTTTGGAAGATCTGAAGGTTACTGCTTCGAGTCACCCCAGGTTTCACCCCCCCGTTTGCTTTTTTAAGGGCGTTTCGCTGCTTTCCGTACGTCTCCCTGGCCGCGTGCGGCTGGTGGGTGGTTTCTCGGTCGCAAAGCCACGTCTCCTTGTTGAGCCCTGGAGACTGAACCCTCCCGTTGCTGTAGGCTGAACCAGCTCCTAACGAGCCTTTCCTCCTAACGAGCCTTTCCACGCTGACAGTGCGTTCAGAGTCCGTCCCGCGCGGAGCGATGACGAACGAGCCCCGGGCAAAGTGCAGGGCGGCCAGTTCGGCCCCCGGACTCTGAAGCAAGAGGGCAAAAGAGTGACGTGAGACAGTTGGTGAAGGCTTTGGGAGGAAGAGGAGAGGTTGAGCGGCTGCCTTGGGGTCTGCTGAGAGCCGTGGAAGTTCCGAAGTGTGTGCCTGGTTCTGGAGCACTGAGCCAGGTCTCTCCCCAGGCTGGTGGGGAGGTAAATGTTGGTGTTTTGAGCCGAGAGCATGAGAGGAGGAGGAGGTGGGGGAAACGCTGGGCTCCCAGCTGGGCGCAGAGACCTTGAAACTCCGGCTCTCTGCTCGGTTCAATTCATTATTAAAGGCAGGGATGAAGTGTTGGCTTTCATGTGCTTCGCTCCTTCTCTCTTCCTCTTCCAGATCTGAAGAGGTGCGTCCTCATGGCTCTTTGGAGTACTTAAGGTTTCCAGAATGAATTGGAAAAAAAAAAACCCACAACATTCCCTGAGCTTTCAAAGCCTCTTCTCGAATGGTTTTCTCCTTCCCCCGCAGCCCTTAGCGCCGTTTTCTCAAGGCAGCCCGTGAGCACAGAGACCGGCACGGATCGTC